ATTCTCTCTTGCATATCTTACATATACAGTTCTACCGATGTTTTGGCCTCTGCTATCACAGACCTTCCTGACTGATTTGCTGTTCTTCGTTATAGCTGTGGCATTGTTTAGGCTGAAAAACCCGCTTTTAATTAAAAATTAGTCAAAGCATGACTCATTTCCTGCGATAAGAAGTTTTGGCCATATTCCTTAGTCAGTGGCACACCCATAAACTCTCCTGTGCTATAAGCACTATATAAGTCACTGTTGGCTGTTATGCAAACATATAGCTTTCTAAACATTACAGAGCGTGGCCGACAACAGTTCGCCCGGGAAGGCCGCCAGCGGCGTCACTGCATCAACGACGGCGACGGCCACGACGCGCAACGCTCCTTCGGGCCAGTCGCCTTCGGTGGGCGACAGTACGACGAGCGCCGATACCGGCGAACAGTGCAATCGCCAGCTGAACGGACCAGCGCCAAATGCGCCACCACCGACGCAACTGAAAAAAGGTGATTATGGCTTTGGACCCGCCATGGTCAGAAAAGACCGGCGGCAGAGTTCATCCCGGTTCAACATCAGTGCCAACAGGGAACTTCAGAAACTGCCGAAATTGGTTGGTACGCAGCTTTTGATTGTGCTTTCCGTTCGGCTTCCCTTCCTCGCTTCGTTTCGTTTACTGCGTTTGAAATGTTTTTGTTATTGCTTATTTGGTTTTGAATTTTTTGTTTTCATTTGCAATCAGCCTTGGATTTATTTTGTCTCTTTTTAATGTTACGCACACAAACGCGAACTTTTTGTTGTAGACGTACCTCCAGAGGACAGGGAAGAGCTGTTCATTGAAAAGATCCGACAGAATGCAGTCGTATTCGATTTCTCGGCTGACCCGTTGTCCGATTTGAATTACAAGGAGGTGAAGCGACTAAATCTCAACGAGTTAATTGATTACATAAGCTCGAATCGCGGCATCCTCACCGAACGCATCTACCCAGAGATTTTCAGCGTGTTTGCGCTTAACACGTTCCGGTCTCTTCCACCCCCGAGCAACCCCTTAGGAGCCGAATTCGATCCAGAAGAAGACGAACCGGCTTTAGAACCGTCATGGCCTCATTTGCAGGTACGACGGGCAGACAACATTATCTTACATTTAGTCTCTGCTTTTGTGTAAAGTAAGACGACATAAAATATGTATAGTAAATAAATCAATAGTTTTCACGTTTCTTGTACATGTTGCAAATTCATGTTTACATCTTCCTATCATTCTATACATATGTCGTTATTAAATACACAGTACTATATAAACATAACCGTCGTATTCGAATCGCTTCTGCAAATTTGCCGGACTCTTATTTCCTACAGATCGACATATACTAGTTTTTCTTCAAATTTGTTTTTGTTGAACGCGACACAGTAAAGCAGTTTTGTATCTGTTTACTGCCAGTAATTTTATATCATGAAAACATGGCTTGATAAAATGGTTTCCTAGGTCACAGAAAGCAGGAAGGCGAAGTGATTACTTTGAGCTAGTTTGGAGCAGGCACCAAAGGCTAGCTTTTGTTGATGAGCCCAAGGTATCATCAGTTGTTTTTGCTGTTCATCATTATACACATTCTTCGTCACAAATTTCTACCTGTTTACTCCTGAACATAGTATAAAGGCATATGCCCAATTATTTTAAAGCGAAATATGCATTACTGGTGTGTAAAAGATTGCACCAATTACTGATCAGTGAATAAATAAATGTAACTTCAACATATATATCTGGGGATCTATCGACTCTGTAAGTAATACATATTGTTAATGAACGAATGAATGAACGTAGCATAAGATCAGTCCTGGAAACATGTAAAAAAATAGAGTGGGCATTTACATCTTGTTCATAGACCAGGAGAAAGCTTTCGATCGGATACCAAGGTCAGATAATGCGGTGGAAAGATGATTGGCGCGGAAATGAAAATGAATGAAAAGATTGGCGCGGAAAAATGTATTAGTTTACCAATGACATGCACGATAAAGCGAGCGACAACGGTGGTTCAAAATACATATGGCAAAATATTAGATTTCTCCGAGCGGGCATGGGTCTATCAAGGTTCTGCATTGAGCACATTTCTGATCTCGATAACAAGCGAAAAATCTGCAGGAAGTAGCCCCTTACTGCATGCTCTTTGCAGATGATGGTGCCAAATGATGGAAGCAGAGAGGTAGCAGAAGCTAAAAGAGAACAGTTCTTACAAAAAGTAGCCTTCTAACCAGCAATAGAAATCAGAATACATTGTCGTATACTTCAGTGTGTAAAACTGAGTGAAAGCTAAAAGATCAGTGAAACTGACAGAAAGTATGCTGCGTCAAACCGGAGAATTCAAATATCTTAGTTCCTCCTTCAAGACAATGAAGAATTCGACGGAGAATTAAGAAATGGGTTGAAATAGTGAGAGCTGGGTGGCGTGCGGAGAGTTCAGAAATTCCTCTCAAGCTGAATGAAAAGGTATACAAAGCGATGAATGAGACCGGTTGTTCTCTAAGGAGCAAAATGTATGGCTGCCTTGAAGAGACTAAAACAACATCTGAACCCCGTGGAACTCAGAATGCTCGGATGTTTTGTCACCAAAGGAGCGAATTCAGTATACCTTCATAAGAGGCACCTCATTTGTGACACCTGTTTTGGAAAGCTGGTTCCGTTAGTTCGGCAACGCGAAAAGAAGATCCGACGAAAAGGCTTGGAACAGCAAATGATGAAAAATAGATGACGTGACGTCATAGAGAAAAATATGAAATTGCCAGACTGTGACTGACAGATTTGTTTGGTCAAAGACCGAAAACTGTGGAGGCACTTCACTGGAGCAGAGGGTGCGTCTTAGAGGGAACGTGTTATGAAAAAGAAGAGAGCATGAATAAATGTACGTAGCATAATGGTATACTTTAAGTTTCGCTAGTTCCAGGCATGCCATTTTTTCTGCGCATAAAATGTATTCGTTGGTGTTAAAATTAAGGAAGTACAGTTAACCTCTGGCTATGTACATTTGTTGCATCTGCGACCAGTAATTATTAATCAGTAAATGCACCTAATGTACCATTATCATTAAAGTAAGACTAGTTCTGGATAGATGCATCCTTTTGATTGATACATGAAACATGCCATTTATATCATCCGTTCATGAATGAATAAAAGTAACCTGAAGTGATCCATCGATTTATGCGATTGCGAAGTAAAAATTAGGTTTCATCAGCACACACGAATCGAAGGTGTTCTTTAAAATATGTTTTCAATAGGATTTAGGCACTGGTCTTGGATTGAAGATTAAAAGATATTTGTTTATTTAGAGTATTTATTCATTTGAATAGTTTAGTTCCGGTTCCGTGGTTGCGCAAGTACTGTTGAATCCGGACCATGATCCACTAGGTGGCGAGCCACCCGTGGGTGAGGTTAAACCCTGTGTTGATGCACTCCCTTTTTTGCATGACGAGTTCCGTTTTGTGTAAGGATGGAAGCGTTTCTTGTAGCATTTTGAATTCTTTTAGTATTAGGCTCTAGTGATAAGTTTTTATCGACATACCTCGTTGGTTGAAATGGATATAACAGATAGATATGCACAGAAGTAAATATAACTGTTGATGATTTAATTATATATGAGAGAAAGCCATACTCGACTGACTCAAGGTTATTTTTGGCTGTTTGTTTTGCTTTCTGCCCTCTTCGCCGTGCGTCAAGATCTTTCTTTTCCGCTGCATAACCACCGTGCAAATTATGCTATACGCATCTCATTGTATGACGTGTTTTTTGTATCTTACCTTCCCCAGCGACTGAGCTTTTCCCTTCGAACGGGTTCTCTTCAGCAAACTGTGTGTTTACTATTCTTGACTATGTGTCAGCTGTCCAGTTTCTTCATTTTCCTCCCGGCTTCTCCATTGTAGTTCTGTTCGCATGAACAGTTTATCAGGTGCATTATCCCCTGTCCTCTTCTTTTGTTTGATGCGTTTCTTCTATGGGAAGCTGCCAAGCTTGTTGTGGCTATCTCGCATAATATCACAAAGCGTTTTATTGCTTCACTCAAGATATTTTGGTACGGGACAGTTAAAATAGGACGGCTTCAGAAGGCTCTAGCGTCCCTTCTGGGTGGTGGATCCCGTTTAACATCCAGTTAACCTTGCTGAATTGTTCATGGATGAAAATCATTGGATACGTATTCGTGCATTTTGTAATTCGGTGACAAGGTTGATCTGTTCTGATTGAGTGAAGAAAAGTCGCCGCATCGCCCTATAGCGTTTGAGCCAGTCATACCTTTATGGATGCGATTATGTGGGAATGTACGTCCAATGTCTTCGAGCTTCATGTATACGTTAGTGCTTAGTGTACCGTTCATTCTGTATATCAGCAATCCAGGAACGGCAGGCTCTTCCTCCTCAAAAATCATAAAAAAATAAATGTTTTCATGGATGAAATTCAGATGTTCCCGAAATGCATTCAGTTGCATTTCTCTATGCGGCCATAACGCCCATGTATCTTCGACAATCCCGTAACATGCCAGTGATTTCAATTCCGCTGATTCGGCGCTACTTCTTTGAACTGTTCCATATTGGAATGTTCCTCCACGATGGGAGATATTGACCATCGCATTATAAATATCTTTGTTATAAAGGCATTTCTCAAATTACGCGAGTTTCTTTGTTAATGCAAATTTTACTTTTTCATTAATGAAACAACAAATGCATGCAAAGTAAAGTTGTCTTGTTTTGGCTGGTTCGAAATACACACTTTTGTTGTCAGTATGAATTGTATTCATGCATAAATGAGTAAGCAAAATATCAAGTTATACCCTCCGTTATGAGAGTTCGTCATACTCCTTTCTACACATGGGTATCTGTGCTCATTAGCGAGTGAATGAAACTGTTATATGATTTTTTCGTATAAGGTTTGTTAGAATGCATGCTTTTCATTTATGCGCGTTATTTTATACTTTAACTATTCATCCATGAATGAATGAAGGTGATTAAAACTACCTGTCGGTTTGCATGAATTCCAGGCATGCCTTTTTCATTCATTCAATTTCGTTCATTAATGAATGAATGTATGTGTATGAATAAGCGTAATATACTAGCATATTTAGAGAGAGGCTAGTTCAGGAAGCACGGTTTTCAGTTATGCGTGAAATCGAACATTCATGAATGAACATAACAATGGCATCCTTCGAGTTACGCGAGTACAGGTAGGCGGTTTTCGTCTGTACGCAAGTTCTACCCATTCACAAGTGCAAAACAAAATCATCACTCGGTTTTTGCGAAATTCAAACAGTAATTTTTGAATTGTACAATAAACATTCATGAATCATTCAATGTAATATTAGACCACGTTGCGTGTACCGCAATTGCGCTTTATATCTGTTGCAGGAATGGCTCTCGTTCTTGTGCTATGAGTACAGTTCGCGTATTGACAAACAACGCCCATGCTCCAACTCTCGTAATTTGTGATACTTTTATGTTACGTTCAGAAATCAAAGAATGAGTGAATTGCACATTTAAATTCACTTGTGAATGAGAAACGTTAATTCGCAACTATTTTAACTCGAGATGTACTCTTATACTATGTCCGTTCATGGATACATTCATTAATGAATGGAAATTTCATAAATGAAGTGAAATATTGATATTTCGAGATCGCATAACTCGTTCGCAACTCCTTTATGCTAGCCTTGTTCATCAACAACGATGGAATTAAGACAGATATGATAATCCTTACACATGTTATTGTTAAAGCAAAGCGCATTTCCAAAAAAGAATATTTTCAGCGAACAGTTCTTGTTCTATACAAAGAACGCGTTCCTTGAAGTCTCGTAGCTCATATACCTTTATACTACGTTCATTTCTGCATGAATGTGCAGTACGGCAGTGGTACCGAAGTGAGACAGTTGCGAGATGGACATTTTTTGTCTGTAGGCGAATTGTTCTCGTTGATTCGCTCTTTAACGACGTAGTACAAATTTTTCTCTTGAGTGACGCGATTCTGAGGAACGCGTTCGTTTTTGTATTAACTGTCTCTGGGTACCACTTTGGCAATATGCAGACCCTTTCGATTTGTATGAGACGTATCTCATGGGCGCTTCCTTCATTATCCCACGATCGAGCACAGTGCTTTCATCGCTTCACGTTTCGCTGGAATTTCTTATTTCTTACTGTAATTTTTTATAGCGCTGTAATTTTGCAGATATTTTTGTCTCTTCGTTGTTGACGACACCAGACAACGCAGATATTGACACCTAATTTCAAACTGCATTTCGCTACGCGCCCTGTACCCCGTAGCATGATCAGGGTTCAGCTGATGTGGCATACAACAAGTCACCTTATTTATACATCTGTCGATTTTAAACTGATTTTAGATAAGCGTATTCCTAATTTTAATTTTAAGATTTTGTAATCTGAACGTCTCAGTGCGTCATTTCAAACCGTTTTATCAAGTTGGCGGTGACACTGCAGTTTCAATGATTACTGTAGAGAATGAGTATTCATTGCATATGCGATGTTTCATCTTCAATATATTTACGAACTCCTCTATGAAAATAAACTAACCCTAGGCTGGTCCCCGTCTATTATACGCACACACACACACACACAAAGTATGATTGAAGGTGTTTCTCTTGGTTAGGTCAAACTGCAGATAGTTGGTTTTAAATCCGGATATACGTTCTGTCTGTCTTTTCAGTGTATATCTGGTGGCAGACTCAGTATTCGACGCTATGGTTTCCATTCTTCTTGACGAAGAGCATTCTCAGATTCCTGTCGATCTCGTAGTAGATCCTAAACTCCCTGCAACTGAAGTATCCTCTTTTTACCTCAGATAGATATCTGAAGTGTATATGGTAAAATTGCATGAGTCTCTTTTGATCCGGCTCTTTCAAGTTACAGTTACAGGTGTTAAAGTTAGCTACTCAGTGTCAACAGTGCTTGCCCTAAGATAGGCTAATGTAGCTTGTCTGAAAATCGGTGGTTACTATAAAAATTACCATTTATTTACTTCTGTGTGTTAAGAAGGACTGAAGTGGTCATTTATATTAATACTTTGTTTATGTGATTCATCTTATGTTGTTAAACTACTAGGTTCTGTTTCACATAGGTTCTCTAGGCTGATTTCTAGGACGTTACTTCTCTCAGCTGCTTTGTCTGGGCTGTGCCCTTCATCGTCTACTAGCTGCACCTACAGCTAGCCTCACCCTAAAGTATACCTTTGAGACACAGCCCGAAGCCAAAAATTTAGCTCACTGATCGTGGTTTTCGCCATGAGTATGAAACTGATGTCTTGCTCTGCTTTATTTCACTGTGAAATTTTCGGCAAGACGCAACGTTTACATCGAAATAAAATAGAGACCTTATCATCGGCGTCTTTTTTGAGCTTATCGCTACAAATCAGTGCAATCCATCTTCAAGGGTAGTTTTACAAATTTATTGCAATACTCATGTTTCTTTGGCTTGTTTCCATGGTCGAATTTTTATAGATTCTTTAGTTATTGGTCGTTAAATTTAATATTCTCATCTATTACTTTTTTCGTTAGCATTATTTCATTAACTATAAACAATTTTCAGCTAGTTTACGAATTTTTCTTGCGGTTTTTGGAATCACAAGACTTCGATCCTTCGATTGGGAAAAAGTACATTGATCAGAAGTTTGTTTTACAGGTAATTTTCTTTTCTAAACTTTTTTTCTGAGTGGTATTCACGTGTATGGTTTGTCATTTCGTTTGATGTTTTACAGATGCTTGATTTGTTCGACACCGAGGATCCGAGAGAACGAGATTTTCTCAAAACTACCTTGCACAGAATTTATGGCAAGTTTCTGTTCCTGCGTGCGTACATTCGGAAGCAGATTAACAATATTTTCTACCGGTTCATCTACGAAACGGAACATCACAATGGGATTGCAGAGCTATTGGAAATTCTCGGAAGGTATAATTATTTCTTGTTGCGTCACAGGACAGTGGGTCATAATTAGGAACGTAGTTTTTGAAGATATTTATGGCCTGGACGTCCTATCGTTAATTGGCGAGGAAATAAATTAAATCAGTAATATTTGAATAACTAAAGGTAAAACTTCAATTTACTTGCCAGGAATAGATCAGAAGTAGAAATTTCAGTGCAAGCAGGTGATAAAACAATTATGTGAAAATATCGTTTTATTGGTCAATTCAGTTGAATTTATTATTAATGCATAATAAAAGCATTGAAACGTTCATGATTGCAGAAGTCAACCAAAAAATCACTAGAGTAAAAGCCGAAATATTATCTAATTAAAGTATTACATGTTGTGGTGAGCTTCCTAAAAGTCATGATGATGGGCCATGATCGTCTTCCAAAGTGATCGACGAAACGATGAAGCAAGAATTACAAAACGGTATCTACCAGAAACAGCCCTCATTTTTGCGTAGAGTATTCCACATTTTCACCTGTTGTAATGTGATTTAAATTGTAGGGAAGAGCAACAACATCCTTTGAATTGTCGGAAAATAAACAAATTTTATTATAAACAATAACATTGAGCCATTATAAATTCAATAATTATAATTATGCAGTTATATTAATTAATGATAATAATCTAACAAACTTGCGATCCAAAGCCAGTAGCAAAGTTGTTAATTTTAACCAGCGGTAAGTAAAAGAAACCTGTGTAAAGCCATTTATTCCGGCCTCTTTAAACGGAAAAGCCGTCCATGCTAATTCCTCAGCTATCTAGGTTTCTAAATACTTAAAGTTAATACACATGACTTTGTAATTTATTTGTGTAGGTTTCTGCCTGATTCTTTTTAATACTTAAAAAAAATTTGTACTGTTTAATCGAACTATTGTACTATGTGACATCTACGAAGTAAAAACATCGTTGAAAACGTTGGTTTCATGTTCGACCCAACAAATTAGTGCGGTTCTTGTGCCCGTGTACTGCAGTCATAAAATTCATGTAACGGTCCTCCGTTAAGGCGATCCCCTAGGCTGCTAGAAGCAGGCGGCGAATATACTATGACGTGTAAATCAGGAGCATTGGCAGGAAATGGCTATTCCTACCGAGGGTTTCAAAAACCATCTGTTTGCTAGTAAACCCATATTACCAGGGTTTAGCTTTTTACTACATGAGCCTACTGATCGAGGTATATCCTTTCTGTGGATGTTCAAGCAGATTTTCTTCGACCCAGCAAGTGGCCGCGGTTTTTTCGCCTATGCACTTCAGGTCTGTAAATGTAATGGAGGTAAGGAAGGAAAGTTTGTATTCATTCGAATGTCGGTTTTCCTGGCGCTTTCATGATGTAGCCATGTTTTACATGAAGTCATTGGTGGCGGCATTGATCTCCATTTTCATATCATCAGACCTCCGCTCGAGTGCCTTCTTTTAAAGGCTGAATCGATAGCGATTATGCGACAAACATGGTCGATATTCTCCTGTTTCGTTCTCATATTTTTTCAGAGTAGTATTCATTATCGACCTTAGCACGAAAAGGCGAGAGACCCTAACCGCGGCTCGAACCCTGGCCTCTCTGTTCTTCGTCCAGCTCCCTACCGATCGAGTAACCTCATTCAGAAGCAATTTGTTTAAATTTTTTGCTCGAGGGACACAGATGGCCCCGATGAGAATCGAACTTAGTTCCTCCGGAGTTTGAGTACCGAATGGACCTCTTAACATGCTGTGTCACTACCCCAAAATACCATAGAGCCGTCGCCTGCTTAAATACGCTCCCATGGACTACTCTAAATAAGGGTACGGCGCTATTATGCCTTGTGAATTCTGTGAAGTGACAAGCCGTGACAGATTTCGCAGTGTATAAAGGGTTTACTTAGAGAGAAATATTATTATTGTAGTTGCTAGCCGTTTAAATGAAGTCATTCAAGAGATTGCTGATGTAATGAAATAAACAAAATTGTGAAAGCCGTAGTCTAATCTAGTAGAAATTTTAAAAAAAGTCACGATCAGTTTCGGTGCTCTGGACCTGGCAGTTAAAATATCTGGTAGCTAAGTACCCTGTTGATCTAGCAGATTGTAGCTCAAGTCATTGCAGCAGGTTGGTTTTGCATCCATTCAGGTACTGTCGATAAATAAACTGCAGCCGTGCCTGATGAATTTCATGGACGTCTAGAAACAAGGTACAGCGCCGCGTAAATACGTGGCAATAACATGTATGCACACTGTGTCAAGACGTTCAAGTGACTTTTTGTATCGATCATTGCTACTTTTTAATCTTTAAAGTTGTTTGAGTCATTAATATGTTATAATTATATGTACTATTGCTATATATTTGTTGTACTATTTTATATTCTCTAAATGCTTCCACAGAATCTTACATTAGAATAAAATTACTGATAGCTAT